CAAATCTGACAATTATGTGCCTTGGGTTGCTCTTCTTGAGGAATATCTTTGTGGTGTTCTCTGTATTTCCTGGACTTGAATGTTGTCCTGCCTTGCTAGGTTGGGGAAGTTCTGGATATTACCCTGAAGAGTGTTTTCTAGCTTGGATTCATTCTCTTCTTCACATTCAGGTACACTTATCAAATGTAGATCAGGTCTTTTCACATAATCCCATATTTCTTGGAGGCTTTGTTCCTTTCTTTTCAGTCTTATTTTCCCTAATCTTGCCATTATATTTTATTGAATTGGACTTCAATCTCTGATATTCTTTCTTCTGTTTGTTCGATTCAGCCACCGAAACTTACTTGTGTATGCTTCATGAAGTTCTTGTGTTGTGTTTTTCAGTTCCATCAAGTCATTTATAGTCTCCTCTAAGGTGTTTATTCTCGTTAGCATTTCACCAAACCTTTTTTTCAAGGTTCTTAGTTTCTTTGCATTGGGTTAGAACATTTTCTTTTAGCTCAGAGAAGTTTGTTATTACCCACCTTCCGAAGCCTTGTTTCTATCAATTCATCAAACTTATTTTTCATCCTGTTTTGTTCCCTTCCTGGTGTGGAGTTATGATCCCTTGGAGGAGGAGAGGTATTCTGGATTTTGGTGTTTTCAACCCTTTGTACTGGTTTCTTCCCATCTTTGTGGATTTATCTACCTGTGGTCTTTGTTGTTGGTGACTTTCTGATGAGGTCTCTGAGTGGACGTCCTTTTTGTTGATGTTGAAGTTATTCTTTCTGGTTTTTAGTTTTCCTTCTATCAGTCAGGCCCCTTTGGTGTAGGACTGCTGGAGGTCCACTCCAGACCCTGCTTGCCTCGGGATCACCTAAGGTGGCTGCAGAACAGTAAGGGTTGCCTTCAGTTCCTTCTGTTATCTTTGTCCCAGAAGGGTACCTGCCAGTTGTCAGCCTGAGCTCTCCTTTATGAGGTGTCTCTTTGGATATATGGGGTCGGGGACCTGCTTGAGGAGACAGTCTGTCCCTTATAGGAGCTCAGGTGCTGAGCTGTGAGCTTCATTGTTCCATTCACAGCTGCTGGGCAGGTGCTTTCAAGTTCATTGCAGCGGAACTCCTAACCACCTTTCTTCCTAGGTACTCTGTCCTGGGAAGGTGGGGCTTTATTTATAAGTTTCTTACGTGCTGCTCCCTTTTTTTCAGAGATGCCCTGCCCAGCAAGGAGTTAATCTAGTCACAGTCTGCCAGCAGAATTGCTGCTGAGCTGCTGTGGGCTCTGCCTGTCTGCTGTGTTAACTTCCTTGTGGTTTTGTTTACAGAGGTACCATTAGAACTGTCTTGGTAATGGTGGTCTGCCTCGGTAATGGTAGACAGTCTCAGTAATGGTGGACTGCCTCAGTAAAGGCGGTTGGCCTCAGTAATGGTGGATTGCCTCGGTAGTGGTGGTCTCCTGGGTGATGGCTGACAACCTTCTTCCCACCAAGCTTGACTGTCTGGGGTCCAGCTGCACTTGCTGTGAAACTCTCAATCTAGAGTGTTTCAGATTGCTGGTCACTGTGGGTGTGGCACTCACTGAGCATGATCGCCTGGCTCCCTGTTTCAAGCCCCTTTTTTTCAGTTGATTGGGTAGCTCTGTCTCCCAAGCATTCTGGGCGTCAGTTGAGACCGCCACCCAGATTCGTGTGTTTTTGTGTGGAGACCCCTGGTGCGGGCTGAAGTGCTGGAAATTTGTGGTGGTTTTTGGCTCTGGAATCTCCTGGTCTGTGGGCAGTAAAAGGTCATTTGGAAATGTGGTGGTTACTAATCCTCTGCATTGTTCTCACTGGGAACTGCACTCCAGAGCTGTGCCTATTTGGCCATCATGATTTTTTTCTGAATAAGGGTCTTGCTCTGTAACCCACGTTGGGATTGCAGTGGTGCAGTTAGTCACAGCTTATTGCAGCCTTGGCCTTCTCGGCTCAGGCAATCCTCCACCTCAGTTTTGTTTTTTTTTTTGTAGAGACTAGGTTTCACTATGTTGCACTACAGATATGTTTTCACGCTTAAATTATAGTTGCAGAAAGTTTTAGACCTCGTTGCAAATACAAAGGAAATTTCATTGAAAGTGATTAATCTGTTATGTGATGATATGCTAAAAGACAATACCAAAATTATAGAATTGTACATTTACAAATGCCTTTTTTTAAGTGTGCTCAATTAAAATAATATGCATGTCAATTGATGTTTGATGTTTGATGTAGGCATTTACTACTACTGTCTGTGCATATTTTTACATTTCCTTTTTTTTTTTTTGAAGATGGAGTCTTGCTCTGTCGCCCAGGCTAGAGTACAGTTGTGCCATCTTGGCTTATTGCAGCCTCTGCCTCTTGGGTCCCTCAAGTGATTCTCTTGCCTCAGCCTCCAGAATAGGTGGGATTACAGGTGCCTGCCACCATGCTCAGCTGATTTTTGTATTTTTAGTAGAGACGGGGTTTCTCCACATTGACCCAGCTGGTCTCAAACTCCTGACCTCAGGTGATCCACGTACCTCAGCTTCCTAAAGTGCTAGGATTACAGGCATGAGCTACCATGCCCTGCCTACGTTTTCTTATTTTTTTCTTTTTTTTTTTCTGAATCAGGGTCTTGCTCTGTAACCCATGTTGGGATTGCAGTGGTGCAGTTAGTCACAGCTTATTTCAGCCTCGGCCTCCTCGGCTCAGGCAATCCTCCACCTCAGTTTGTATTTTTTTGTTTGTTTTTTTGTTTTTTTTTGTAGATACTAGGTTTCACTATGTTGCCCAGGCTGGTCTTGAACTCCTGAGCTCAAGCATTCCCCCCACCTCGGCCTCCCAAAGTGTTGGAATTACAGGTGTGAGCCATAGCTCTTGGCCGTTTTTACATTTTCAAGGACTAAATATGTAAAATCTTATTACAGATTACATTATCAGAAAAACATTTGCAATACTTTTTAATGATACAGACCTCTATATTTGAAATTAATTAAGAAAAATTATTCCCAGTGAAGGAATTCCACTGGTCTCATTAATAGATCTATAGTTTGGAAATTTGTTTCCCTTCTTTTTATAGAAGTATCTGGAATAATATTTTGAATTTTGTCTCTTGCTCAGAAAGCCAAACATATTTAGTGTCTGGTTCTTTACAAATATTTTACTAGCTTCTGGAATACACTTTCAGCAACAAGGAGTGAATTTCCCAAATAAGTAATCCTCCAGTAAAAATTACGAATATATATATGGTGCAATGGCGTAAACTTAGGATAAAGTAAAAATAAATATGAGTTGAACACTCTATACAATAAACCTATAGAAATATTTGTGTATAAATTGAGTTTAGATAAATTTATCATGAGTCTCATAAATGCATACTAAAATTACCTACTTCAGCTCAGTGCAGTGGCTCACGCCTGTAATCCCAGCGCTTTGGGAGGTTGGGGCGGGTGGATCACTTGACTTGGCAGTTCGAGATCAGCCTGGCCAACGTGGTGAAACCCTACCTCTACTAAATATGTAAAAAAGTTAGCCAGGTGAGGTGGTGTGTGCCGGTAGTTCCAGCTACTCAGGAGACTGAGACAAGAGAATGGCTCGAACCCGGTAAGCGGAGGTTTCAGTGAGCCGAAATGGCACCACTGCGCTCCTGCCTGGGAGAGAGAGCAAGACTTCTTCATCTCAAAAAAAAAAAAAAAAAAAAAAAAAAGAAAGAAAGAAAGAAATAATACAATTACCTACTTTAAAACTGATATTAAGAAAAACAATCATGCTTTCTTGTGTTTGTGCATGATGTCTCTGGCAAGAGAAATAATTGCATTACACATTAAAAAATTTTTCATTTGAAACTTGAGCTTAATTTTTCAGATGATATAACTTGGCCAATGTGTTTTTGATGTCTTTTCTTAGGAATTATTTCATTTTTGAGTGGATATTCTTTTTATACTTTGCCTTGTTTAGAGGGCATTCAAGGTAGGCTGAGTGGGACTATATAGTATTAAGTGTTTGATTCTAGGACCCTGTAAGAGTTTAAGCAATGTTTTATGGGAATCTATAATATAATAACATATAGATTTATTAATCATTGCCTGGGGGAACTTAGAAGATAAGGTGTTGAAGCTGGACTTTGAAGGATGGCTAGGATTTGGGCTTTTAGGGATATGAGCTTGGGAGACCAATCTGTGTGCAGTGAACTTTAAGAAAAGAAAGAGGGAGCTGTCAGTGGTAGTGCAATGGGAGATGGAGCTGGATGGGTAGTTTGTGGCTTCAGTTTTCATTCACCTAAGAGAAAGGGACTTTATTGACAAAAAATTCTGAGATTGGTATAGTGTCTGACACTCAGAGGTGCTAAATTAGTACTTTTGGGTAAATAAATAGGGAGCTATTTGAGGAAATTGAGCAGAAGAAAGAAACATAGGGTAAACACCTAATTACATAGGATGGTCCCAAGTTGATCATCACAACAGCAAGATTTGCTAAATATTAGCCAAGGCCCTGTTAACATTTACCTAACATCTATTCCTTCCTAATTCGTATTAGTACCACTTTAACCAATGCCTTGTAATATTGTAATATTCCTTCTCCCTATTGCTTCCAGTCTTCCATCCCCTGAATTATTTAAGTGCCTGATTTTGTGACTAGTATGAGTGCTTTGCACATAGATTCTCACACATTTTTTCTAATGGGTGAATGAAAGTCATCACTTAGTAGTCTTTTGAAACAGAGTGACAGTATGTGTATGAGCCTTCCAAAATCCTTTTTACTCAAAAATAATAATAGGAAAATTAGCCTCTTGATTGAGTCTTCGATTTTACTCCATGTTAAAGAACTAGTGGCTAGCATTCTCATTTGGATTCCTGAAATTGAATTCTGTTTTTAAATTTTCTTAGAGGAGATGCTCTTATTAGACACTCATTCTTAAGTGTCTACAGTCTTAAGATTAGTGAAATAGTACAATCCAATGGCCTGCTTGAGGGTTTTCTTAACTCACCCTGGGTTAAGTTATTAAATAATTTTTATATTTTTTTCTTAGGTATCTTAATGCAATTCAGACAATGTGTCCACACATTCTTCGCTATTTGACTACAGCAGTCATAACAAACAAGGATGTTCGAAAACGCCGGCAGGTGCTAAAAGATCTAGTTAAAGTTATTCAACAGGTAAAACTAAAATAAATACTGGGTGTTTTAAAAAGCACCTAAGCTTTAGGTCTAACCTCTTTTTCTAAAGTAAGAGTTAATCTTAAGGTAAAAATGCTTTTAGAAATAGGTGGGAGGAATACATGAAGTTTAGAAGAAAGAAGAGCCTCAAATGGGCTTTTGTTGTCCTTAAGTCCAAGATACACAAGTTGGATATGGAATGATTATTACCGTCTGCTAGATGAACACTTAATATACGTTATGTATTTGTGTTTTTATTATTGCAAAGAGTGAAGAAAATCTGGAACCTGGAGGTGGGGGTTCATTACCTGTATCATTATAGATGGCTGAACTTTATATACAATACAGTTTCAACAGACCCAAGTTGGGCAAAAGGTTCAGGCAGCCATGCTGGTTTACATTTAGTGAGCTTATCAGCAAAACCCATAGATTGGAAAAGTAAATATTTAAGAATGAATTAAATACAAAGAAGTTATTGTCATTCAGTAGGGATTGAATACCCTTATGCTTGGGGAAGATCTTTGCTGTTTACTGACTAAGGGAGACTTTTGGTAGTAGGGGAATTTGAAAGGTTTCAGAATGCTTCTTGGATGAGAATTTAAGAGAACTTGGTTTGAAAGACATTATAAGCTTAAGATGTGGTCTGGAATCAAGATAGGGACAAAATTGCTTTAAGAAGATGCTAGGTAATTTGATTAGAAATTAGTGATAAGGAAGCAGAAAACAGGAAGATTGGGAAATTCTGGGGCAATCTGCTAAACAGTGTTGAACCACACCTGCCTTGACCTTTACTTATTTTTACAGGAGTCTTACACATATAAAGACCCAATTACAGAATTTGTTGAATGCTTATATGTTAACTTTGACTTTGATGGGGCTCAGAAAAAGCTGAGGGAATGTGAATCAGTAAGTATGAGTTTTTTACTTACAAATTTAAAATCCTAAATTTTTGGATACTTTAAAGTTAATCTTGCAGTATCTTCATTAAAATAATGAAGTGTAATTATAACAGAAATATGTTTGTTAATCTTAAAATGGCCTGAATGGCTTGTTTATTAACCCTAAAATGACTTAAATGGCTTATGTTTATTAATCTTAAAATAGGAATGTACTAGAATAATGACTTTTTAAATGTTATTGCCATGTGTTTATCCCTTCTGTGAGGAAAGTTTGTTAAAATATTGCAGGTAACTTAAATTCACAGATATATCTATAATTCCACATCTTACCTTGAATGAGTAAATATAATATTTCATATGTATAAGCAAAGTCACTTTGAAGTGCAGTATATGGAGTGTTTTTAATTTTGTTTCATAGGTGGGCTTATCTTTAGAATTTTTCACATGGTTGCATTTGACATTTGTGATAAACCAGTCAATTCATTGTAGTTACGAGTTTTATAACTGCAGTGCCTCCTGTTGTTTAACAACTGTGGAAGAGTTAGATTATAGTTGTTTTCAATAATTAGTTTACAAGTTTGAAGAAACCAAACTAAGAATTTTACCTGCTAAATGTAGTCACACTTACTAGATTCACAAGTTACTGGTCATCAGTTTCATCCTTTGAACCAAAATTGTAGCACAAAATGGGCAATTTTTTAACAAAGATTTTATTTCTCCCAGAAAAAAACTGATGATGCAAATATCATTCCCTGGTGATTTTCAAACATTAGATGGAATAGAAAATTAGAATCCAGATGGTAATTTGTGTTTTTTGTAGTCGTTTCATTATTAAGGTAAACACTGGTATATATTCATTATGCTAAATTTCTAGGTTTTGCTGTTAAAAGACCTAGAGGGCACTTAGTTGCTGTTCTTGAAGTTAAAATGTTCTCTTTTAATTATATCATCTATGGCATAGGAGCCACCTTTCGCATTCTTTTCCTTTCTGATTTCTAAGTGTACTTAAGGTTACAGAAATACTCAGGGCTTTAGTTCATTTATAACTGTTTTAAATAGTTGGAAAAGATTATGTTATCCGCTCTGATTTACGTAGAATAATGGATAGTACCAAACTTTGTTGTCAGAAGGCTACTTTATTACTTAAAGTTATCAGTAGAACAAGAAAACATAGCAGTTTTTAGGTTTTTATTTTGTAGCATTCTTTTACTACTTATCTAAGTCATTAAAGATTCGAAAACAGTATTCTAGAAAGTGCTGTGATATAGAACTCATGATATTAGAATGGAAAAATAAAGTAGACAAAATATTTGATTCAAGTTTCAGGCAGTTGCTTGTCAGCATCATTAATTTTCGTTGTATTTGTACATATAGGTGCTTGTGAATGACTTCTTCTTGGTGGCTTGTCTTGAAGATTTCATTGAAAATGCCCGTCTCTTCATATTTGAGACTTTCTGTCGCATCCACCAGTGTATCAGCATTAAGTAAGAACACCGTGATTTGATTTGTATTTTCTACTTTAAAATTCCTGGAAATTTCCATTTATTGTGTATTTACACTTAATAGAATTCCAGTTAATTGGATTTTTATTTACCTTTGCTTTCAGAAGAGCAATGAAACAATTTGGTAATTTATTTAAAAACCTAACTTTTGCTGCAGGCTCAGATATTTTTAGCTTGTATGTGTATGGCATTTTTCAAAGTCCTAAGTTGAAGGCAATATATGGTTGTCAGTTACCTTCTTGAAGTATAAATACTGTGGTACCTTTACATGAGAAAAATGAAGTAAACATTTCTAAAATGGTTTTCAACAGCAGTTCAAAGGAGATAACCATTAAATCGGAAATTCTGTTGAAAGACCACTACATTTGGTAGACCTTTCCATTTAGTTTGTATTATTTAATTACATATTTGAATTCTCATATAGTAAACTACTATTACATCTTAATATGTTGTAAGATGGAAAAATTATGATGAATTTTAGTTTTAATTTCCTCTGTTCTGTGAGAAAATTACTGGGAAAAAATGTGAAATGTACATAACCTATTAGAAATAAATTGTACACATTAGAGTTTTAAGAATAACTAGTACCCTGTGGGCACAGAGGAAGTCAAACAGGAATGTTTAAAAACCTACTGCTTTAATGTTTGCCTCTGAGGAATAGTGCGTAGAACAAATTCTTTTTCTTTAATGCCATTTGTTTTGCTTATCCATACTTGGCTGGCCTAATTTTAGCGGGTTGTCCATTGAAGTGGTTCTCCAGAGTTAGAAGGATAGTATAATTATGTGATTTTTCCTATGGGAATTGAATCCTTGACTTCAGTTTTATTAGCACTTTACTATAGCTTGCAGACAGGATTTTTTAAACCTGATTCTCTTACAAATTACGTGAAAATTCCTAATACTAGTGTTGGTTGTGAAATAAAGGTATATAGGTACATAATATGTGGGGCTCCGGTGGACAGTGGGTAACTGAATTCTTGGATTGTTTGTTTTTAAGGTTTGTAATTAGAGCTTATGAAAGAGGGATATTAGTATTTTGGTTTCCCTTATGGAATTTTCTCCATTTCTCATTATAATAAGGTCATTCAGGAGTTTTTGGTCCAGAACTGATTTAGCTATGAATGCTGTTGTGGGCCTTTTGAAAACTGACTGTTTGTTTTTTTTTTCATCTTTAGCACCTAGCATACTAACTTTGTAGCAGCTAATATTCTTTGTACAGTATAGTGTGAGAGGATACAATATAAATATTTAAGTAAATTTCTTCTGCTCTTTGTATTAGTGAACTTGGCATTTTTGTCTATAATGCTTTTCTGCTTTGGTACTTGCTTCCAAGGTCAGCAAGATTTTTTCTAGCTCTTTTCTTTTAACTCTGCAACCATGGATTCATTATTTTCTTTCTTGGGATTTAGTTTATTATCTTTTATCAGTGAAATAGATTAAGTATGTGTCCTCCTTAGTGAAGAGAGATGTGCAGCTCAAAGAAGTTTATAGAGTGGGAATGTTTCTATATACTTTTATGTGGCATTACCTAAGAATTTTTCAATTTTTTTTTCTTTCGGTGTAGATTTTTATTATTTCCTTGATCACTGTAGTTTTCTGCTAGACAAAAATCTACAAAACATTTTCATACTAAAGTCCTAGTGACTTTCCAGAGTCCAAAAATATTTTTTTTCTAGTAGTAGCATTTTCTTTCGCTTCAGTTCTTCGATTTTTTTCAAAGTTTTATTAAGATGATTAAGAATACATAGATCAATAATGTGTGTTTTTCTTTTTCTTTCTTTCGTCTTTTTTTTTTTTTTTTTTTTTTTGGAAGCAGAGTCCTACACTGTTGCCTAGGCTGGAGTACAGTGGTGCAAACTCTGCCTCCCGGGTTCAAGAGATTGTCATGCCTCAGCCTCCCAAGAAGCTGGGATTATAGGCATGTGCCACCATGCCCAGCTAATTTTTGTATTTTTAGTAGAGATGGGGATTCACCATGTTGTCCAGTCTGATCTCAAACTCCTGGCCTCAAGTGACCCACCTGCCTTGGCGTCCCAGAGTGCTGGGATTACAGGCGTGAGCCACTTGTGCCCAGCGTTTTTTCAAATACTGTGGTAGAATTTTCAGTCTGAAAGAAATCTTAGGGATCTTCTAATCCAACAACAGAGTTACTTTTCAGTAGAATTTTATGTTGTGATGGAAATATTTTATATCTGAAAATGTATTTATATGTGTTCAGTAGGGTATACTTTAAAGGTGGCTCACATTTCAAAATCTTGAAGCATGGCTTCCAAATCTCTGTGTGTGTGCTGGACTTATTTTCAAATGCAGTATTGTGTATATGAATATATGTATTTATATATGCATATAAGCCGATCAAAGCAGAGCCCATTCGCCTTGCCTATCCTATAGCTCTGTTCAGCTTTTCTCCTGACTACTAGGACACCTCTTTGGAACACAGTTTTACAAAACACTGACTCAGAATAACTGCATTGTTATGTAGCCAGAAAACTTAAGGCTTGAGGACAGTAAGGTGCTTAGGTCTTGATAGAGCCTGGACTAATAGGTATCTGACATTGATTGGACTGTACCTCATTATAAATTCCTTTTTTTTTTTTTTTTTTTTTTGAGACGGAGTCTTGCTCTGTCATTTAGGTTGGAGTGTGGTGGTGCAATCTCTGCTCACTGCAGCATCCACCTCCCAGATTCAAGCGATTCTCCTGCCTCAGGCTCCTGAGTAGCTGAAATTACAAGTGTCCACCACCACCACACCTGGCTAATTTTTATATTTTTTTATTAGAGATGGGGTTTTACCATGTTGGCCAGGCTGGTCTCGAACTCCTGACCTCAGTGATCTGCCCGCATTGGCCTCCCAAAGTGCTGGGATTGTAGTAGTGAGCCACTGTGCCTAGCCTATATATTCTTTTATATTGTGAACAATTTATATTTTTAGAAATGTCAGGTTTAGATTAATTTGTCATTTAGTGTATCAGTTGAGTCAGAGGATAAGGATGAAAACACTAAGTCAGTATAACTCTGTTTCAGAATCGCTGTAGAATTTGTTTTACAAACCTCTTGTAGCCACCCTAACCCTTTGAATCAGATTTACTGAGTAGGCTATGCTATGATTTGCAGCAGGGCTGCTGTGCTGTATCTTGAGGGTGGTTATTCTGAAGCACAGCCAGAATGAAAAACCACTGCGTGAGGTCACCATTTTTTTTTTTTTTTTTTTTTTAAAGATGGGGTTTCACCATGATGGCCAGGCTGGTCTTCAACTCCTGACCGTAGGTGATCCACCCACCTTGGCCTCCCAAAGTGCTAGGATTACAGGCGTGAGCCACCACAACTGGCTAGGTCACCAATTTTTAAGGTATGTAATTACAGCCTGCTAAAATGAGTGAAAAAAAATCAGTGATTTAATACCTTTGTTGTCAAATGAATTAAGAAGGTAAGCTTCTTGATGTTTTTAAAGATGCTTTAATGGGTTAGAAAGACAGTGGCTGGAAATAATAAGTATTTATGTTGGTACTTGATAAATATAGCTAACATTTTAATTTGGACTCCAAGGACTTGAAATCTAAAATAATGACTAACAAGATCTCAAAGTTACCTTTAAACAATACATAGGAAAAAAAGTACTTGTTCTCTGATCCCGAGGTTTTAAACCTAGCTGTACATTGAAACCATCTGGAGAAGTAAAACAATGAGAATTTAAGCTTAAAAATAATAGATTTCCTGGTTTCGTCCCAGACCTTCTGACTCAAAATATCTGGGATATAGACTTGAGAATCTGAGATTAAACTTCAGGTGGTTCTTTTGCAGTCAGCCTTGGGGAATCATTGCTGTAAATTAGTGATTTTGTGGTACTGACAACACATTAGAATCAAATGGGAAACTCTGCATACTCAAGTAATAAAAAATACTGGATGACTGAGCCTAACGGTTAAAAAACAAAAACATTCTCTGGAGGGAGACCCCAGTGACTTGTGTTTTCAAAAAGATCCTCCAAGGGATTTTGATGCAAGATCTGGCTCTTTTTTAAAAAAAAAAAAAAGTTAAACTTTATTTTGAGATGATTTCTATCAGCTTTAAGAAATAATAAAGAGACCCCGCCCTGTGTTCTTTACTGTTTCTCCTATTAGTAACATCTTGCAAAACCACCGTAAGATACAGCAACCAGGATGTTGATGTTGATACATTCAAGATATAGAACATGTCTATCACAAGGATCCTTCAAGCTGCTCCTTTATAGTGGTATTCCATTCCCTGCCATCTTCTCCTTAATTTCTGGCAAACACTCATTTGTTCTCCAATTCTATATTTTTATTACTTTAAGAATATGTAAAACATTTTCTAAAACTTAGTGTTAGCTTCCTAAAAGTTAAATATGGTACGTATCATGATTAAGGTGTAATTAATTAATAGCAACCTAACTAGTAGTGTAGCTCTCCAAAGAAAACATTACAGATGTTAATGAGTGCCTCTTTTGGCCAAACACAGAGTAGAAAGAAAGTTATGAGTACACTTTCAAAGAGCTTAAAATCCAGAAGAAGCAGCGGATATTAAATAAGTAGACAAATAGAAAACTACAAATTATTGAAAATATTTGTAATTTTGGGAAATGTCAAAATTTTATATTTGAAATTAAACATTATTGAAAATATGTCCGTATCATTCTCTAGTCACTCTGCTTTGAAGAGCAATGAGAAGAAAATCAGATAGGTTCAGTGAATCCTGATAACTCTTTAAATGGAATTATCTTTAAACTCCAAACTAGACTTTTTACACTGAATACTAACTGTGACAAATTATTCCATTCACTTGTTTATGCTGGCTTATTTTTACCTCTAGTTAAAGTTATTTGATGCTTCTGTCTTTTGGGGGATGGGGGAGGGGAAGGATATGTCTCAGCTTTTTTTTTTTTTTTTTCCCACCAAAGGACACATTTCAAATGCTGAAAATAGTATTATAAAACTCATAATTGATTATTAAACAACTCCATT